TGGTCTCCACCACAAATATGAATTTTATTGCTCCTTTGCAGATACTTCACTGCGACTTGCAGGACTTCCTTGGCTTCTCCCCCAAACTTAAAAACTAAACCTTTTAGGAAGCCAGTGTAATTGTTATAGCGCTTTGGGAAGTCTTGTGCGAAAGATTCTGTGTGACTGAGAGAATATGTGAATGCTCTCCCAAGTTCTGTCCTTTATGGTTATAAAAATGGGGCTTTGATTTTCCTACAAGAAGAAAAGCTCTTTTATACATCGTTCCTGGTTTTTAAATTGCCATATAACTTCCCATAAATATTTACCAGGCATACTATGGAAACTCCTGAAATTCAGTTCAGGTTTTTTCTTTAGGTTCTTCTGAATATTCACAACAGTGAAGTGGTGGTGGGGATTGCATTAACTGAAGAGAGTCTCCACAGACGGAATATCACACACTTCGGACCCACGACGCTGCGTTCGACTCTGGCTTACGGCATGCTCAGGTCAGGGCAGCTGCGTTCTGGTATACTCAGTTAATGAGTCCTTTTGTTTCAGAAATCAGGCCCTTTATCTCCCCACTGCTTCCTCAGAAGCCATTTCTGTTAATTCTCGAAAAAAAATTTAAAAAGCAGAGTTGCTGACATGGTGTGCTTTGTAGTTACAGTGGTGGTTTCCCAGACAAGGAAAGTAAATCTTTGCTGTGTTAGCCTAGCTTCCAAATAGTGTATCACATTTGTGAAAGAATTTCACTGTATTGCTGCTCATACAATGGTAATTAACGTATTGAAAAAATAATCACAAAGTTTTTTTGTTAAAAGGATAGAATCAGAATTATTAAAATAGTTCACTTTCCCTTCCTTAGAGAAATTCACGTTTTCTTGGCTTTTCTCACCACATCTTTTCTTCTATTCTTCAGACTCTGTGATCCCCAGCCCACGGATATCATAGTTGATCCCATGTGTGGTACAGGTGCGATACCAATAGAGGTGATTCTTCTGTGATTTTTTTAACTTAATTAAACTTAACAGTATCTGTAACTCAGTAATGTGTGTAAGTCTTCTTGGTAATGACTGAATAGCAAGGTCCAATCTCACCAACTTTTGAACAGATACAAATACACTTTTTGTAAGTGACCTTTTTCCTTCTCTGGTCTATAGCGGGAAGAAACTAAATCCAAAAGTATTTTGAGCCGTAAAGGTGCATAATACCTGTAACAGCTATCTGTTACAGAACTCTAAATTCCTTGCCATCCACTTGCAGTTGCTTTGTTGTATTTTGTCATGTTTGAGTAATTCTTCTGTTTGTTGTGTTTTCAGTCAAGCAGCGTTGATGCTAATGTTGCTTATTATCAATTCTCCCTTAGGGAGCCGCGGAATGGCCTGGCTGCTACCACATTGCAGGGGATAACAACCCTCAGGCTGTGAAGAGAGCAGCAAACAACATCTGCTCCTTACTGAGGAAAAATGAGAGTAAGGACAGGTGAGAAGAGCACAAGGGATTTCTGTTTCCTGCAGCGTTGTATGCAGAGAAATCCACTTTGCATTGATGTTTTGGAGTGTCTAGTTCATATTTTCCTGTTTATTCCGCTTCCAACGTTCTAGATCTCCTCAGTGTAAAAACCTTCTGAGTGCTCATGTCTGAGGTAACTGCCTTTGCCCTTGCAGCAGCACTGTCCAAGGTGTTCCCTTGGACGTCATCCAGTGGGACATCTGCAACCTGCCTCTCCGGACTGGCTCTGTGGACATCGTAGTGACAGACATGCCCTTTGGGAAGAGGTGAGGAGTGCTGGAAAGGTGCTGTGCCTCACTGCCACAGCTGCATGGGCTCACCTGGCCAGGCCTGGGCTTCTCTCCAGTCAGGTCCTTAACTGGGCCTAGTTGGGAAGGTGTGACGGGCCCTATGGTAAAAATACAGCTTGAAAGTAACAGTAACTGTGGTCCTGAATAAGCTGATCCTTGTCTGAGACCAACGTCAGTGAACTGGTTTCAGTGATCACAAAGGACATCTGAATGTATCTTGCAGGATAGGGTCGAAGAAGAAGAACTGGGATCTCTACCCAGCCTGCCTGATGGAGATGGGCCGGATCTGCACCCCAGGGACAGGCAGGGCTGTGCTGCTTACCCAGGACAAGAAATGCTTTGCCAAGGTATGTTCTGTGAGAGAAAAATCAAACCTATTTACACTTGAAAATGTATTGAGAAAAAAATTGTAAGCTGTCATCATTACAGATGTTCTATTTATTGAGCAAAAATTACTAACATCTAAATGCAGTTCTGGGTGTGAAAAGTCCCTTGACATTGCCATCAGATGTGATTTAGACTAATAAAAAATAGTTTTACTGTCTTAATGCTGCTCTCTGGCTGGTTTTGGCTTGCAGGCCTTGTCACGGGTGGGACACATCTGGCGCAGAGCTCAGACGGTGTGGGTGAACGTGGGGGGACTCCACGCTGCAGTGTATCTGCTGCGGCGCACCTGGGAGAGAGCAGAAGAGAGAAGGTCCTTCTGGTAAACTGCCTGGAAGAAGACACACCTCCAGAATTTGTTGAATGGCCATTTGGTAAAGCACACACCACAGAGCTTGGGTCTGTCAGTTCCAAACCCAAACAACCTAAGCAGAAATTGTGTCACGCAAATACTAAACCAGGGATCAACTTGAGAGCTGCCAGTTGTACTGTGTGTTCTGAAAACTTGTTATTTAAATCACCTCTCCTCCTTGCCACCCAAACTGAAATTCAGTTGTGGGATTAGTAATGCTTTCCATGGCCTGAGTCTTCTATATTTTTCAGTTAAATGTTTATTCCTCTGCTTACAGTAGAAAACATGTTGAGGCAGCTCTGAAGGTAACAGTTTACTAAACTGTAGAAAGCTTACATGTATCTTAAAATGACTAACAGGACTACTAAGACTGTCACCTTGAAGGGTTCAGAGGTAGTATTTCTCTAGTGTGGGATATTTCCAAATTGAAGTTTTCTAATTTATACCATTGCTCAAATGTAAATGAAGAAAATAAAACAGCATCTGGTCTTTATGGTCTGATAAGCAAATTCCAGTTAGTAAACAATATGCTGTGCTACTGATTCTCTTGCCTGTTACCTCACCTTAGTGCTAATTACAAGTAAATTTCTAATCCATATTTTAATGTTCCACTGTCTTGGCTGAGGGGGTAACTCACACAGCCTTAGCAAACCGTCTGTAGTTACTGTTTGAGAACAAAGATACTTTTAGCAGCTATATTAACAAGTTCATGTTTCCAGTGTCTACTGTGGACACATCAAAGCGGCAGTGTTTGAATTTCTTAGGTGATTTAACTGTCATAGTTATGCTGCCACAGTATTTACAAAATTATATTCCCTGTCCACTAACTTGAAGTTGCAAATAATTTTTCTTCTCTAAATATGCTGTGATTTCTCAAGCCTCTTACTCTGCTCAGCAGAGGCTGAAAACACATTACTGGTTTGTCCTTTTCATTACAGTGTGTTCATGCTAAGTACTTTTAAGTGTTCAGAGGTGAATTAACAAGTATTAAAGTTTTAGAAGTTTTGCATAAGAGATGATTCTTGTGTTCTTTTCTGGTTTGTGTCCTGATTTAAGAGTATAGAAAAAAGATTATGTACAGCGATGTCTGAATAGCTCTGCTCTTTTACAGATATGAATCTGTTTTTGAGTTGGGCAGTTTGAAGCAGTTGCTGTTAAAGCCCACACTTCTGTTTTATGGAAGATTGGCACCAGACACTGAGGAATAGCAGCTTTTTACAGTTAGTACAATCAGCCTCATTGTATATATATGCTGTGTAATCCCACAGTGCTGCTCACAGCTGCTTTACAGTATCAGGATCTGAACTATGTGCTCCTTCCATGATGTGAATTTGCTGTTTTCCTCTCATAGAAGGAACATGAGGGAAGTGACTCCTTTTCCACAAGGGCCATCAAACAAGCCTGCCTAGCAGTTCTGACACCTCCAGCTCTACTGGGAAAAAATGTAATTGAGAGGTGATGGTTTCTCTTGTGTCATTCTCTAACAATGTACACACTTCTCCCTCACAGGCTGCTAGAGGAGCAGAAATTAGGAAAGAATCCCTCATCTAAGTCTTGTTGGAGAATGTTGAGTATTCTAAAAGAAAAACCTGCTAAGAGGTGTTGAGACATATGAGGAAAAGGCACTGTCTTTATGCTTTTAGCACTGTAATTTGCAGTGACTCTGGAGAAGAATATGCTTAAACTGCCTTTGCACACTTCATCCCTACCCAGGGTAGGGAGGCTGGAAAGAGATGATCCTTAACGTGCCTTCCAACCCAAAGCATTCTCTGATTCTATAAAGCACCGTGTTTGGAGAAGTATCTGCTATGACATACTTGAGACAGCAAAATGAATGGTTTGGGTTGGAAGGGACCCCTTGCCATGGGCGGGGGCACCTTCCACTATCACAGGTCCAACCTGGCCTTGGACACTCCCAGGGATGGGGCAGCCACAGCTTCTCTGGGCAACCTGTGCCAGGGCCTCACTGCCCTCACAACCTGTGCCAGGGCCTCACTGCCCTCACAGGGTAGGATTTCTTCCCCAGTATCTAATCCAGTAACTTAATTTTTCCTCAAGGTTTTACTATTTTCATGTGCACAAGAGAAAGAGAATACTGTATGGTATTTGGGAAGCTCCAGCTGAAGGATAAAGGAATGTTATTTCGACACCCAGAGGGCAGGAGAGGACTGAATTAGCAGCTTAACTGTTACCGGATGGGGAAGAATTAGTATTGTGGCAGCACTGGTAGGCCTTAGTCAGAAGAGCTGTGAACTGAGGCTGGTGGATGATAAGACACGACCACTGTTTGACAAAGAGTTCAGCACTCTTAAGTGAGGAAGGGTGTGGCAAACCATCGTTGCTGTTGTCCGTGTGTTTGGTGAAAGGGTCCCTGAGGGCCAGCGCCGTTCCCGCCCCCCGGGGCTTCCCTCACGGCAAGCCCCGCCCCCCCGCTCCTGGCCCGGCCGCGCGCAGGCGCCGAGGGGCGGGGCCGCGTGTCGCGAGGGGCGGGGCCAGGATGGAGCCGCCGCCGCTGCCGGGGTCCGTGAGCGGCCCGGGCGGCCCCGGGCCCGCGCTGCGCTCCGAGAAGACACGGGAGCTCTCCGAGGTCGTCTTCAACAACCACAGCCCCCGCTACGTGCTGCCCGTCTGGCTGGACTTCGAGGGCCTGCCGCAGGGCTACCCGGTCCTGAAGCCGCGCACCGGACGCGTCATGCGCAGCTACCGCGGTGGGTGCGGCGGGACGGGGCGGGGCGGGCTGGGGCGTCGCGGGGCCCAGGTGGTTGAGATGGTAGCGGTGGGGTTCACCATTTTCTTCTTTTCCTTTTTTTTTTCCTCCTTTTCCTCTTTCCGCTCTTCTCTCTTTCCTTTCCTTTTTCCTTCCATCCCTTTTTCCCTTTTCCCTTTCCCCTCCCGGTTCACACCAGTTACCAAGGCCGTGGGGGTGGTGAACAGGGAGCTCAGCTGGAGAGGAGCTCGGTCCCTCACGGATACAGCTCGGTCCTTCGCGAGTGCCCCTCAGAGCTGCTCATTCAAAAGTGCCATAACTGCTGCGTTCCCCCCTTGTTCCCTCCCAGGGCACCTCTGGCTGTTCCGGGATGCAGGGACCAACGATGGGCTCCTTGTCAACCAGCAGGAGCTGTTTGTGGTAGCCCCCAACGTGACCAAAGCTGACATCACACTGCCAGGTAAGGGACAGCACTGCATGTGCCCTGGGGAATTCTGAACTTAGTCTCTTTGAACTTCAGTGTAAGGATGAGTGAGAAATGAGAAGTAAACCTGCTCAGACACAGGAAGAGGTGGTGAGGGATTCTAGGTAGAGCTGTGGTGCTGGGTAGAGCTAGGGACAGACCTCTCCTGTAAAGGATCTGTGAGGGGTTTCATAGGTGCCTCATGGCCGGAACCACGTCCCACCCCTCTCTGGTGAGCCCAGCCTGTGGTGGGTGACGCTGCTGTGGGCTGTGCTCTGTGTTCATGCGCTCAGAGCTGCACTGTGGATGTTGGAGCAGCAGCTGAGAGCCCTCGTGACGAGGCCGTGTTTTGTTTGACCCCAGTGTTCACCCTGAAGGAGAGATGTCTGCAGGTCGTGCGCAGTCTGGTCAGCCCGGTGGACTACAGGAAACTGGACATTGTTCAGTCATTATATGAAGAGCTGGAGGATCATCCAGATATTTCAAAGGATCTTCAGCGGCTTTCTCTGGAGAGGAGTGAACCGTTGAGCAATGGAATTCTGGAATAACACGATTACTCACTTCAGACTCTTCAGTAGCAAACCACTGAGTTTGAGCAGCGAGAGTCACCAGGAAACACACCAAGAACCGATGCTTCCATTTAAAATTCTGGAACATAAACTCAGTTAGGTTGGTGATGGTAAGCCAGATCCCAAAGACTGAACAGCACCTGGAGTGTGCCAGCTTGTGATGGTTCAGGTTTGTTCCTCGTTACGTGTATCACAAGCTGACGGCTCCGGAGGCCTCGCGCGGATGAAGCTCAGAAGTTTGGACACTGCGTAGGGATGTAAGATCAGGGCAGCTATATGGAACTTATTCATACAGAGTAACTCTCATTGTATTGGAAAGGAAATTACACCAAGGATTAATTTAACCCAGACTAATGGTTCTAAGTGGCAGATCAACACCGGTTTTGTACGAGTAATTTGTTTTGATGGAATTTCCCTGTCATGCATGCCTCGATGTGCCTGTGGGTCACAGCGTGGGGGTTTGTATGTCAGGGTTTCCAGTACCACCTGAAGACCTGACAAACGTTATGTTGGTGGAAAAATGATGTGTAAAGGCTTGGGGTTTTTCTGCCTCTTACCTTTGCACTTATACAAACCCGTGTTGTATCTGCACTGCAGCTGACGCATTTTTACTCATATCATACCTTGAATGCCTTATTTGCCTTCATGATTGGATTGTTGCCTGGCTGATCTCAGCCACAGAGACCAGATCCTAGCTTTGGGACACCTTTGTCCTTCGCAGCTACTTTCCCAGCAGCCTGTACAGGGTTCACAGGAGGTAGATGCTTTGAGTCCTGCCTCTTCCCATCACAGTGCTGTGGTCCAGGTCACAGTGGGGGGCCTTTTTGGGCCTGTCTCCTCAGGACCAACAGGGGCTGTATGGGCTCACACAGCCAGTTCACAGGCAGGGCCATGCTTTGTGGCAGGCTGGAGAAAGAGAGATAGCATTTCTTTGCCCATATTCTGTCCCCCACACCTCAGTGAAATGTGTCCTCGTGTGAATGCACAGAGTTGAAAGCAGCATAGTTTCAGCAGACATATGAATTTTCCACCAGTAACAGATGTGGTGCTGCTCAGGTAGAAGCAGGCTGGCAGGAGATCACAGCAGGTTATGTCTGTGCATACATTTGTTTGCAGTTGTACATTCTGGGAGCAGCTGTGAAACTGAGAATCTCAATGTATTCTGTAAGTACGGAATGTCTCCCCTATTTGTTGACTTGTCTTTCTTATGTATTTGAAGTGTATGAATTGATCTTTGACATAAAAATCCACACTACCTTTCGGACTGATTCTGTCAGGTACCTCGCAGTGCCTATGTGTTTGTATCCCTGTGATACTTGGACAGTCGTGGTTGATCAGTAACAGGCACTTTGGACTGTACAACCTGCCCAGCCCATTGCTGCAGGACTGTGCTGTGGCTCACAAGACCTGTCAGCACAGCTTTGGGCAGTGTCTGGGCAGAAGGAGTACGTGGCAAGTTCTGCTCTTACCACCTCTCATAGATCTCTGAAGGGAAAGGGTGCCCATATGGGCCTCGGGAGCAGACGGGTCAGTGCCCCAGGGAGGCTGAGGGTGGGAGGGTCTGCCCTGCCCATACCCAGGAGGAGGTTCCCTCCTGAGGCCTTGCACTTCGATGAGCGTGGCGGTTCCACTGGGCCCTGGCAGAAAATTGGCCTGCTTGGCCACAGCTTTTCCTGTAACAGAGTGGGCATTAGATGTTGGCTTTAACAGATCTGTACGTGGCACACACGTTCTGGGTATTTCTGAGCTGGCTGGGGTCTGTGATCTCTTGTGTTGCTTATTAGAGTGTATTTTTCTGTTCTGGAATGCTCCTTTGGGTCAGAACAAAAGGCTGGAGAAACCCCATGTGGCTCTAAATCATGAACATTGGGAAATGGAGCCTCCTGCTAGTTACTCAGCAGCATTAGCAATAAATGAATGTCGTCATTGACTTGTGGCAGCTTCACTAACACTGGGTGGTTTCAGGCAGTCCCAGCCCCGCCTCGGTGGCCATCCTGGAGCAGTGGTGAGAGCCAGGGCTCAGGGCCAGCCCCAGGGCTCTGCTGTGGCAGGAAGTGGTGAGGCACAGCTGAAGGGGAGAAATAACAAATGGTTCTCATGTGTCCATGGGCTCCAGGAGAGCCCGCAGCAGTTGAGTCCTGCCCACACCACACTGTTGGAAAGGGAAGGCTGAACTGCATGAATATACAGGATCGTTCTAGTCTGTTTGGAAAGTCATTCCAGTTTCCCTGTAAGACCCTGCATTACATGTAATGTTGGGAGCAGAACTGAAGCCAGCCATGGAGTTGGATGTGTTCTTTCCCCTCATTTTCCCCTGAGGCAAATAGTCTAAAAGGTTTCACAAGTTTTTCTAGTACCCAAGGGGAAGAAGTGTCTTTTCTTCCTGCTTTTATCCAGTTCTTTGCAACACAATTTCAGTCTCATCTTACATCACTTCCAGAGATGCTCTGTCTTCCCATGACAGAATTTAGATGTATGTCAGAGGGACAGTAAGCAGGGAAAATGAAGGGAAAAACCCCATAAATGCAACTATTGTTGAACTGGTACTACTGCTAAAACAGCTCATCTCAAGGCAGTCTTTGAGTTGTCATATTTTAAATAATAATACACTTTGGATATTTTTGTTTAGGTTTTTTTCTGTCTTTTGACCTTATAGCTTTATCAATATCACATTTTTTCAGCTTTTCCCTGCTAATATGGGCTAAGAAATTCGTTGTTACTTGAGTAGTATTTGAGAGGTTCATGATTTCTTAGGCCAGAAGTGTAAAAAACTGCCAAAGTTTGAAGGTTTGATACTGAAAACAGTTAGTTGTACTGTTATGTATATGCAGAGTACAAAGAAATAGTAAATTAAAAGCTCTCAAAACTTACAGCACTGATTTCAGTTCATTTAAATGTAGAGCTAGGGCTAAACACCAACAACAGGAACAGAAAGAGGGATCGTTTCAGTTAGGTATTGTGGGCACTCTGTGGAAGCAGAGGTACAGCAGGAAGGGTCTCCAGGTAGATCGTTTTGGCAGAAGTATTTGTAGCAATTATACTGGCTAATTAATTAATTAGATATTTTAATCGAAAGCAGGTTAAATTAAAAAAAATTTAGAAAAATTGCCAACTATAAGAACATACTTTAAACCTCATCCTTGACAAGCAAGACCTGGCCCTCTGACCACTTCTGATGTTTTTTAGTTCTCACTCCTTGCATCTGCTACGGTACCACATGTGGTAATGAGTGAGCTCCCGTGTGCTGCACTGATGGAAAACGCTGGGAGCACTTTTAGTGCCTTCTCTGGTGGTGGCCGTTCCTTTCTCAGCCCTCGTGAGACCTTTGTCTCGCAGCCCGGTGGGGAGCGTGGCTGGGGCAGCTCCAGGGGATCCCTTTTCACAGCCCCCTGCCTGCGGGGTGCAGGAGCCGCCGGCTCGGTGTCCCGGGATGGGTGTCCCGGGCTCGGTGTCCCGGGATGAGTGTCCCGGGATGAGTGTCCCGGGATGAGTGTCCCGGGCTCGGTGTCCCGGGCTCGGTGTCCCGGGCTCGGTGTCCCGGGCTCGGTGTCCCGGGCTCGGTGTCCCGGGCGGGCGCTGCGCGGGCCCCGCTCCCACACGGCCTGTGCCGGCTGCGCAACACTCGGGAAACCGGCTCTGGCCTCTGTCACGTGAAACCCGCGCTTTGGCAACCAGGCTGGAGCAATACCCGCTCACGGAAAGGAAAATGTGATCTGCACCTGGGGCCTGACGTCAGGCGGAGCAGGAAGCAGCGCTGCGGTCGGAGCCTGCCGGGGATCGCTCGTTGTGTCGCTGGCCCTTCCCCCGCAGCCGGGCTGGGGCAGGCCGGGAGGACAGGTCTCGGAGAAGAGGAAGCTTTGGGAGAAAATCCGCCTCCGCAGCTGGCGGAGGAGGCCGAGAGCGGCGAGCCCGGGCGCGCACCATGCGCGGCTGAGGGGGCCGAGCGGGAGCGCGGAGCCATGGCCCTGCAGCCGCCGGCCCTCGCCCCCAGGGCGGGCTCGGCCCCGGCGCTGTACATCCACAGCATGCCCGCCTGGGTGCTGGAGGACTTCTGCCAGAAGATGGACTGCCTGAGCGACTACGACTGGATGCGGTTCGGTGAGGGCGCGGGCGCGGCGGGCTGGCGGCGGGGACGGGGCAGCAGCGCCTTTGGGACCCCACGGCCGAGCCCTTCCCAGCGCTCGGCAGAGCATATCCTGGAGACAGGGAGTTCCCGGGCACCGATCTGGTTTTGTTTTTCGAACAGAGGTGGAATTCCAGATTTCTGTGTTCCCTTGGCTTCTCCCGGGCAGCCAGGCTCCCTCCCCTCGCTCTCCAGTCACGCTGCGACTCCTGCCACTTCTCACTGCCTGTTTTCACGACATCCTTCGCATCTGGTCAGATGTTCTGGTTTGTTCTTTCTTCCTTCTTTTCATTATACTTTATCTCCTCATACTTTCTGTCCCTATTTTTCTTGGTCCTGGCCATGTCCAGTCAAAAAGTACAGAAAATGTAGTCCCTGAGTTGTTTGTTTTGATTTTTTTTTTGGGGGGGAGGTCTGTATCCCAGTCCAGACAATTCTAACCTGAATCTTTTCTTAGTGCATACCTTCCTTTTTTTGACATGATTTAATTTCATTCAAGACTTCCCTAACTGTCTGCAGAATAAGCTCTTACCCCAGTTAATCTTCCTGATGTAGGGTGGGATTCATCTCCGCTATTTTCAGATGTATAAAACTGTATTTCTGACGTCCTTCTGAAACTAGCTGGGGTGGGAACTCGGGAATCTTTGTCTCCACACGCACAGCGCAGCCCTCGGCCCCTCTGGTTCAGGCACAGCCCCCCCGAGACTGCAGCCCCGGGTGTGTGGGAGGGAGGGCAGTGCTGTGAGGGGAGGGGGGCTTCGTGTGGGAAAGCGAGATGGGAAGAGCACAGGGGGTACCCAGCATGTGCGGGTAGGGTCAGCCTTGGCACGGGATCTCCTGCTCCTAAAACTGCCTGTGTTTCCCTGATAGCTTTGTCAGCACCTAACTAACACCCAGGTGATTCAGTTAGTTTGGCTCACCACAGCACTGGGATTTAGGAATGCAGGCAGGAGTGCAGCCACACCACTGACTGCTGTCACCTGATTTGGGAGAATCACCCCAGGAATTTAGTCTGAACTTACTTTGGTACACAAAGTACTAAGGAGAAAGAAGATTACAGGGAAAATATGCTGAAAAGTGTAACTGGGGTTTCTTTTTGAGTGTCTATGATATAACAACATTTTTTCCAGAATAGTAGAAGGAAAAAAAGGGATATCTTACTTTAGAACAGAATTTGCTTTGTGCTTAGCTAATTTATTGTGATCCTTCCTTTTAAAACTGTGCAAATGCAAAAGTGAACTTGCTTGTTTACCTACTTGCCCTGCTAGTTTCTCTAGTTTTTAAACAGCAATATCTGTTCTCTCCCACCAGCCTCCTACGTGATCACTGATCAAACAGAGCTACGGAAAATCAAGTCCATGGAGAAGACAGGGATCAGCATCACAAGGGAGCTGATGTGGTGGTGGGGAGTGAGGCTGGCAACAGTGCAGCAGCTCCTGGACCTGCTGCAAGGGCTGCAGCTCTACCGAGCAGCTCAGGTCATCCTGGACTGTGAGTAGCTGCCCCTTTCTCCTGCAGGTCTCTGCTGCTCCTCACAGCATCCAGCCCCCACCCCCAGGACATCTCCCTTGCTAGCTGAAGAAACTTTTTGTTGGGAGTCACATCCTCAAATTCTAAAATGTCTCCACTGATTGTGATTTTCTTCTCTCTAAGTAAAATTGGTGGTGGGAGGGAAGAGGTGACACAGGAGGACTCAGTGGTTCCCCCAGTTCACCTTTGTAGTGCCCATCTTGGACCCTTAGAGAGGTGCCAGGGAGACAGGTTAAAACCTGTGCCCAAACCTGGTCTGGGTCTTTTATGCATCAGATGGGGTTTCAGAACACAGAGGCTACACAGAGGGTCCTGTAGCACTGGATCACTGGATCCTGGGAGGCAGCATGTTTATAGCTCCTGCCAAGATTGCTCACACAAGACCCAGGTACAATTGGCCTCTCTGGTCATGTAAAATGCAGGCTTCCAATACAAGAGCAGCTTCCAGCAATTGGCCTGAAAAGTAGAGACACGACACGGACAAAAATGATCATCATCCCTGCAGAGAAACACCATCCCCCTCAGGGTCTGCCTGGTTTGCTCCCCATGGTGTGTCAGGGTCGCCATTGCTTGTGCAAGGTGCCCCTGGCACAGGAACCACAGGGTTTCCCTTCTGCTGCTGTCACTTACCTTTTGTTCTTTTTTTGAGCTTTCTCAAAAATATTTCTGAGATTTTTTGCACTTCAGTTGCCACAAGCTGAAAAAACTGAGTGTTTTTCCCTGTTAAAAATAAAACCCAATCAACTTCCTCCAGGCTGGAGGAGTACGCTTTGGGATTCCTGAGGAAAAGGAATTGCTTCTCAGAATTGCACTTGGCTGATGCAACTAAACAGAGATGTTTGTAATGATATCTGTGGGCTAAATAGTGAGCAGGGAGAGTAAATACTGAGAGACTGTGGCAAGAAATGGGCATCCTCCGCTGAGCTCACTGAGCTACTGAACTGCTGTGATAAACCTGACAGACCTGTGTGACAGTGGGCGAGTGTGGCATTGGGCTGCTCTGCAGCTGCACAAGGAGCTCCAGGTGACTTTGGTTTTGACTCTGGGTTCTGTAAAGCAACATGGAGGCTAGATAAAGGGGGTTTAAAAGAGGATGGAAGAGAAAAATCCTGTGATCACTTTTTAGTTATAATTTTGGATGATCAGTATTAATTTTGTCCCAGATCAATTCAAATGCAACAAATTGCAAAAGTACAATGAAATTATGTTTTTTAAAAGCTTCTTACTGTTGTCTTTTATATTGAGGTCCATAGCAAAACTTCATGTTAATGTAAGTGGCAGGAAGTCTGGATTATTTTGTGGTTCTGCCATGCAGAAGTAGTTAATTTTTTCTGGAATTAACCCAATATGGGCATTTCACTATGTGCTCACTCATAAGCAGAAGTGATTTCCAGAGGTTTAGACCAATCTTTAAAGTTTTTATCTACTATTTCTGCTTTTTTCTCTGTGTCTGAATATACTTATTCAGGTGATCCCTCTGGGGCTGATATGGAGGATACATTGCTTGTTCTGTTGGGCACTTTAGAAAACATAGCAGTCCTTACATCACCATAATTCCAGTCATTCCAACGTAAAGGAATAGGACACAGCGCACAGGGAGATGTTTCGCTGGAAGATTATTTCCCAAAGAGTTTTATCTCCGTTCAACAGTTTCTTCCACTCCCTAGTCCCACTTCTGAATGACCATAATAATTTTTTCTATGTCAGTTCTTTAGCTGCAGTGCTGCCCCGTTTGTCTGATGTGCAGGAAGTTGCAAAAGTCATGAAAAACCCTGAAAAGTAGGTTGAATGAGGGAAGAGAGTCTAACTTTTGAGGCTTCTAGGTTAAACTACAGGAGGAAAACGCCAACTGTCAGTTTTAACTAAAGGCCTGCAGACTGCTCGATGGCTAATTTCCAAAATCTGTAAATTTGGGATTTCATAGCATTCTGGCACAGTAACAAACATACCTGAGTGTTCTGAGTTTTAATTTTCAGACCTAGTTTCATTCAAACCTGAATTCATTCAAACCTATGAATTCAGGTACAAACCCCAAACAGAACATGCCCATTTCTACCATTAGTGCTTGTACAAATCAAAGAACACAAAGCTGTTACCTGATTTCAGATGCAAACAGAGGCCTGACACGTTTGATTCTGAGGTCACCACTGTGCTTAAGATACAGAGCTGATAGAACAACAGGACAAAAAACCCCATGTAATAACACTTGAGCTTATT